ATAACAGTATTAGATGTGCATTCAGATCACCCAATTCGAGAGAATCTATGCACAGGGTAGAGGACAGGTAGACGGGTGCAGAACCCGGGCAGGGAGATCCTTTGGAAGACTACCACGGTTGTCTATGTGACAAATGATCAGAGCCTGAACTGGAAAGACAGGGCAGTAGATCAAAAGGAGATGTTAAAGCGTATCACCATAAAAACTGGCCTGCAGTGTAGGATTCAAACTTCTCAGCAGAGTCCACAGCCCCCTTAACTATAGAATGTACGTGCAGACTCATGTCTTGCTATTTGACATCACTCACTCTACCCTCCAGGCACAAAGACCTTCTCAGAGCCTCCAATGACTGTGCCTTTTCTCAGAGCTAAGCCTGTGTACCTGCTCTTCTCTCCGTTTGAAACGTTCTTTGCCCTTTTCTTAGGCAACTGGACATCTATTCAGCTCCAACTTTCTCTGGTAGGAAGTCACTTCCTTCCCTGGACCCCAGGAGCACTCTGGGCATAGATTCTCTCGAATTGGGCTATGAATTAGTTTACATTTTATATGCTCGCTACCCCCACTAAACTGTAATCTCCTCATGGGCAGGGATTCATTTCCTTTCTTTGTTTCCCCAGCGCCTGAGATGGTGATCAGCGAATGGAAAGTCTTCAATAATACTTGAGGAATACTATTACAGGAGAATCAAAGTCTTCACCTGGCTCCTACCTAGACTACCAGGTGAGCCCTTGCCTGTCTTTCCAATGTAATCTCTCTCTTAAACTAAAACACTAGGAAGAGACTAAAGCAAAAAAGTCAGATTTTCCACATTTGAGCCTAAATTTCTCTTATAAAAAGAAACAAGATATTTTCACAAACCAGCAAGGAAAATTCCAGACGAAAAGCCAGGCCAATCAGCAGAGTTTCCAATCTGTCACCACTTTAAACCATCTTGTAAATCACTTCCAGTTTAATTTTCAAGGACAAAACACGACTGTCTTCATGTCTTTTTCTTTTTTAAGAACTTAATGAGAGGCTCCCATTGCTTATCTGATCAAATCCAAGTTTTCCAGTCTTCCACAGCCTGGCTGCGTTTCATCGACAGAATCCACTATCAATGCCACTATCAGAAACACAGTCTTATTCACTCTTGTACTCAAAAATACTTTAAGGTTTCTCAGGACCTCAGATAAATTTCACATTCCTCACACAGGTATTTTAGTATTTGGTGCTGGTCTTTATTTTCTGGTATAGTCTCGCCGATAGCCTTCAATCTTCAGCTAACTTTCCAAGTGGTCTTTCTCAAATATGCCTTATATTTTCCCGATTTTTGTGTCTCTACAGTGTCCAGATTGTTCCTGAACCAAATGCACAACTCTCTTCCATATCTGATGTAAAAGTCAGCAGTCTCAATACAAAAAACATCCAATCTGCAAGCTTCCTCCATTTTTTCTATCCTCTTGAGAATCAGTCTGTTTGAGGCCAGTCTGATTGGAACCCATGCTCTTCCCTATACCCCTATCTGTCTCATATTCTATCTTTTTATTACATTTACTTAAATACGTATTGTATCTTATCTATCATACACACATATTTTAAGACACTCTCCCTAGACCCCATATCACTACATTTCACTGTTTCCATTTTTTTTTTAATTCCTCAAAGGAGATATATATATATATATATATATATATATATATATATATATATATATATATATATAATTTCACTTCCTTTCCTCCCATCTTTTAAGCTCACTTCAAGCAGATTTTCATCTACCACTCACTGAAACTGTTCTTGTCAAAGTCAACAATAAATTGAGTATTTTCAAAGCTGATAGGCATCTTGAACTAACAGCACCACCTGGCATAGTTCATTGCTTCTCGCTACTAGGGCCACTCTCCTTTGGTGCCTAGAACCGACTTTCTCTTGCTCCTCTTCTCTCCTCCATCTACTGGCCAGTCTTTCTCTGGCTTCCTTACTTGCTCTGAACTGTCCCAACCTCTACAAACTGAAGTGTCTAAGATTTAGCCCTGCTCATCTCTTTTCCCAGCACATTTACACTCTGATCTCATCTGGTCCCAGGGGTATAAATCTCATCAATACATTGACAAGATTTAGTTTTCTATTTCCAGCTCTTACCTTTCTCTTGAATTCCAGATTCATACGCATCACTGCCCAATCAATATCTCCACTTAGATGTCTAATAGATAACATAATATGTCCAAAACTAAACTCTTGATTTATCTCCTCTTTAAAACATGTATCTAGCACACTCTTCTTCTTAGCAAATGGCCTCTCAGTTCATCTATACCTTAGAATCATCTTTGACTCTTCTTTTTGTCATCTAATCCATTAGCAGATTTTGCTAGCTCTTCATTCAAAATACATTCATAATTTCACTACTGTCCACAACTCTTTCACTACTACCACAATTCTTTCATTACTCCCACTAAGCACCACCATCTCTTGCTTGAATTATTTCAAAAGCCTATTAACTGGCATCTATTATTGCTTATTCCCCAACCCCCTACCCTCAATTCCTTAAAGCGGTCTTTCAAAAATATAACTTTGATTATGTGACTTTTCTGCCCCAAATCCTCCAATAGCTGCCTGCCTCATTCGGAATACAAGGCAAAATCCTTTCCATGACCTACAAAGCATTACATTATCACCCTAACTGGTTTGGCTCAGTGGATAGAGCATTGGCCTGCGGACTGAAAGGTCCCAGGTTCGATTCTGGTCAAGGGCATGTACCTGGTACGGTCTGGCAGTTCCTCTAGCAATTAGTCATAGATTTACTATATATCCCTGCAATTCCACCTCTGGATATATACCCAAGAGAATTGAAAACATATGTCCACATACAAATGTGTACATGAATGCTTGCAGCAGCATTATTCTTAGTAGCCAAAAGATAGAAACAACCCAAGTGTTCATCAATGAAGGAATGGGTAAACAATATGTGGTATATCCATAAAATGGAATATCATTTGGCCATAAAAAGGAGTGAAGTGCTGATACATACTGCAACTTGGATGAACCTTGAACATAGTAGCTAAGTAAAAAAAGACAGATAGCCCGACCAGTGTTGTTGTTCAGTGGTTGAGTGTCAACATATGAATCAGGAGGTCATGATTCAATTCCTGGTCAGTATACATTCTTGGGTTTCTAGCTTGTTCCCCACTAGGGGACCTGCGGGAGGCAGCAGATCAATGATTTTCTCTCACCATTGATGTTTCTCTCTCTCTCTTTCTCTCTCTTTTTCTCTCTCTCTTCCTCTCTTAAGTCAATCAAAAAATATTTCTTAAAATGTCAGACACAAAAGGCTATATTTTATATGATTCCATTCACATGATAGTCCTGAATAGAAAAATCTACCAAAAATAAATTAGTGGTTTCTTAGGATTGAGGGAGAGTGAGCAAGAAGAAGAGATGGAGAAGATGAAGTTACTGAAGTAATCAGTCCAGGTGAACTAGGAGTTCAGGGTTCAATTCCCTGTCAGGGCACATGCTTGGTTGCGGGCTCCATCCTCAGTAGTAGGCAGGCAGGAGGCAGCCAATCAGTGATTCTCTCTCATCATTGATTTTTTTTTTTTTAAATCTATCTCTCTCCCTCTTCCTCTCTGAAATAAATAAAAAAATATATATTTTTAAAAAGTCACTCTTGCTGATGTATGGAGAATAAACTATAGGAGGGAAAAAAGGGGAAGCAACATGATTAGTGAAGAGGCCATTCCAAAAATCAAAGCAAGAGATGATGATGGATTAGACTAGAGGTTAACTTTGGAGGTGGTTTGAGCTAATTGGATCTGGATATGCTTTAAAGGTTAGAATCAAAGGATTTGTTGGATTCCATGTAGCGTGTAAGAGAAAAAAGTCAAGGATGACTTCGAGGCTTTGGGTGTGGGCACCAGGACAGATAGAATTGGCATTCACTGAGCTGAAGGAGTGCAGAAGGAACAGGTTTTGATGAATTAATGGGGAGGTTTTGTTTTGGGTATGTTAATGTTGAGATGTTAAGTAAGCAGTTGGTTAACTGTGTTGGGGCTATCCTTTGAGAGTTATCAACGTGTAGATTTCATTTAGTGCCACGATGTTGAATGATATTAGGACCTAGATAGATAAAAGGTAAGATCCTAAGGCACTCCAAAATGAAGAGGCCTGAAAGATAAGAAGAAACTAGCAAAGGAGAATTCAGAACAAAATCCACGTTCCCTACCTTATTCATGACCTGGCCCTTCTCACCATCTTTAACCTTACTCCTCACTCACACAGGATACTCGTTTTTAAAACACACCAAGTCCTTTCCTGTCTCACGGCCTTTGTTTTTGCTGTGCCTTCCATTAGGCATGTTTTCACCCGGGCTCTCACGTCGGGTCACTTCCTTGTCTTAGCACAACCCTCAGGTAAATTGTTACCTTGAGTTTTCTCTAACCACTTTCCTCTAAGTATCCTCATTAAGAAGGCCCAACCGGACCATCCCCACGAAGTGATGGCTCTTCCCATCATCTGAAATTCTTGTTTCCTGTCTACCAACACCTTAACGAACGCTTACAAAGCCGTTACTATCTGCCAAACTACAGCTCCTATTCCTCCCTGCAGGTGTGACTTTCTGGAGAGCGAGCTGCTCCGTCTCTCGGCCTCTGCCTACATGGCTTCAGCAATTCTGGGTCTTCAGTATCTACTAACGGAATGGATCCCAGGACCCTGACAGCATTTCAAACGGACGAAACTTGCCGCCGATCATTTCTCAACGTCAGAACATCAATGGATCGGAGGACACTGACAGCCTTTCCAACGGACTCAACTTCCCGCCGCGGACACCCGCCTCGTCCCAAAGTAGCCAGAGCCACCCGCGCGCGCGTGCGCAGTCGGTCTCCGGGGCGCTAGGCAAGTAAACCCCGCCCCCTAACCAGGGCGAGTGTGCCGACTGCGCACGCGCGCCACGGGGCCTGTCCGTCCGCCGGCGCTGTCAATAAAGTTGTAGCGAGCCGAGGCCTCTCCTTTTCCTTGGCAAGATGGCGGAGTACGACCTGACTACCCGCATCGCTCACTTTCTGGATCGGCATCTGGTCTTTCCGCTGCTGGAGTTTCTCTCGGTGAAGGAGGTGAGCGGGGCCCGGGGTGCGGGAAGCTACGGGGGGCGCGGGGCAGGGGCGGCGGCCCGGGTCCGCCTGACACACACGTGCGGGGGCCCCCGGCCGCGAGTTTGGTCCCGGCCGGGCCGGCCGGCGGGACCTCCTGGGATTGAGCGTCCTCGGGGCGGACAGGCCCGCGGACTCGCGGCCCCGAGGAGGGCCGAGGTGACCACGGGAGATTCGGGGGAGAAAGCGGGGTCGGCTTCCCTTCTTGGGGTACGCAGGCCCCGGGGCTCCCCCCCACCCCCCGGAAGTGAACGCGGCGCCGCCGGTTTGGGGATTTTTACTCGGACCCACTCCTCAGAGCCAGGGGGAGGGTTAGAGGTGCTCACCTTCCTTCCGGGAACTGTGGGGAGGGTGGTGCTGGCCTGCCGGGTCGCTGGGATTAATTTCCTGACATTTGAGTGAAATATACAGCACTTTTATTAAGTGCCATGAAGTTGTGCGTTTCTTTGCATGGAGTTTTTCCTTGGTCTTTGGGTAAGGAGCCCATTCTACCAAGTGAAGCAATCGATTGTCGGATGGGGTTTGGGGATCCCACTCCCTCCCACCCCCCCAAAAAACAAACCCGACACATTTTAATCTAAAAGTTCTTTCCCCGTTTTATACACACACACACACACACACACACACACACGGAGTGATTGGAATTGGTGGTTGATGTTCATTTTAAGCTGCTCAAGATAAACGGAATAAGTATTACTATTTGGCCCTGGTAATTCGTTTTTAAAAATGCCTCGGTCCTAAGAGTTTTGAAATATTAAGCTTGGTTATTCCTTGAGTTTATTGGGGAAATAATGCATTTTAAAGACTCATAAGGTAGTATTACTGGGATGAAAGCATTAGGACATAGGCCAGAAAGATGAATGAATTCCGTTTCCGGAAGAGGGTTTAAGCATGAAGTCTATCTAGGGAACTCCAGATTTGGGAAATAGATTGCTCCCCCCCACCCCCCCAATAGAAGTAAGACAAAAGAAGCCCTACAAATAAACATTAATGTGTTCTGATAACTTTTCAAATGTCCTTGTATATGGTTCCTTAAACATTTAATCCTCAGATTTATGTGATCCTTTCCTAAGCATAATATAGACAACTCTGAAGTTTACTGATGTTAGGAAATACCCAGTTTACTTTTTAAATGTTCAAGAATGTCTTTCCTTGTAAAGCTTTAATTTGAAAGGATATAGTTTTGCGTTGGTGTTTTTTCACATAGGATGTACTTACACCTGTATGTTAGAGTCTGCCTTCTGTTTTCTGGATAAATAATAGAGAAATAACCGTATTTTGAAATCCTTTGCCAGCTACTTGTAGAAATGTTTCTAAACTAACCGAAACTTCACATTTTCATGTATTCTTTATACTTCCATTTTCCAAGGGAGGAATATGTAAATGTAAATTAGTATGTCTTACGGCAAAACAACTTTACGGCTGAGAATCAGTGCAGAGTAACTGTGCTCAGTACTTTCTTCCTGTGGAAATGTGATAAATCCAAGGTAAAACCCAGACACCTCACCACTAAAATTGTGCCTATCTTTTAGGGGAGATGAGGTCTTTTAAGTATAAGGCAAAAAGTGACATGTCAGAAAAGTACTGGCAGACTGCTGTCAAAATTGACATTCTAATCTGGGCAGAAGGACTTTGAGGAAGAGAGGCATTAAGTTGAGTTTTGAAGGATAGGTGGTTAGGAGAGTCAGGATACGTGAGGATAATTTGAAATGTTGGAGAAAGAGCAGGAACTTTGTTTGGTTCTTTGCTCTGTTCTCAGCACATAAAAGAGTCTGGCATAAAGGCTTTGAATGATTATTTAATAAATGAGTAAATAAATACATATTTGTGTCTTCTGTGTGTGTGTGTGTCCGCCCCCTATTAATCCTCACCCATGGGTATTTTTTTCCAATTATTTTTTAGAGAGAGTGCAAGGGAGGAGGTGGAGGCACAGAGAGAAATAGCCATATGAGAAAGACACACCAATTGGTTGCCTTCCACAGTTGCCCCAATAAAACCTGCAAAGGAACTACTTACCCTTGACTATAATCAAACCCAGGACCTTTCAATCTGCAGGCCAATTCTCTAACCACTTAAATGCACTGGCTAGGCAGGTTTTGATGTTATATAAATGGAATTAAGCATTCACCTGTGGGGGCCTGAAGCTGCGGGGATCTCCCTTTTCCATGTCCCACATGGAAAGAGAGATGAACGAACTGGTTCTAAGTGGAGGTGCCCAGGGATTGGGAAATATTAGAAATAAAGAGAGAAGACATAGAAATAGATTTCAAGCTGAGAGCTGGGAGGGCCTCGGACCTCCTCTGCTGGAGAGACAGACTGACAACCTCCTGAGCCACGCAGCTCATCTATTTATACTCCAATCCAACAAGGGGTTTCACAGGAAAACAAGGAGCCTGGGAGAGCCCAGGTTCCACCCACTCCTTCCTCCTGGACAAACACACGCCAGGAACTAAGAACATCTCAGCACCCCCAGGGTGGGAGTGCAACTGACATGACTCTGCCAATATCCCGGGCCCAGTCAGCAACAATCTAAAGAATGTCCAGGTGTCTTCCCATTTGGCCCTCTACATTCACCATCTTGTACTGCTTTGTCTGATTTTTTTTTTCATTCAACACTGTGAAGTTCATCCAAGTTTTAAGATGGCAGTGGATTGTTGATTTTCAGTGCTGAATGTTAAGTCATTTTATGTGTATACTAGAGGCCTGGTGCATGAATTACGGGTAGGAACCCTAGGCCTGGCTGGTGAGTGCACATCATAGAGGGCGGTTGAACTTCCTAGAGGATACTTTGCATATTAGCCTTTTATATAGAGCAGTGGTTCTCAACCTTTCTAATGCCTCTACCCTTTAATACCGTTCTTCATGTTGTGGTGACCCCCAGTCATAAAATTATTTTTGTTGCTACTTCATAACTAATTTTGCTACTGTTATGAATGGTAATATAATCTGTGTTTCCCGTTGGTCTTAGGTGACCCTGCTAGTGGTTCTCAACCTGTAGGTCGCAACAGGTTGGGAACCTAGAAGCAGAATTGCTGGGTCAAAATATATGTTTAACTTTAGGAGCTAAAAATAGCTTTCCAAAGTGGTTGTACACCTGACAGCAGAATAAATGTTTGTGACGCTACATCAGGGGTAGGGACCCTTTTTCTGCCATGGCCCATTTGGATATTTATAACATCATTTGAGGGCCATACAAAATTATGAACTTAAAAATAAGCCTTATATGGCCCATGGGCCAGACATTCCCCACCCCTCTTCCATCTGGCCAGGCTTGCAGAGGACCTAAAGGCATGCCTCCTGCCCCAGTATGGGCTGGGGGACCTCAGGTCAAAACCCCCATACTGCTGGGCCAGGGGAACTGAGGCTACGCCCCCTGCCTGGTGGGATTGCTGGGTCTGGATCTAGCCCAATTGAGGGGCAGGTATGGGTCTCACTCAATTTGGAGGTGCATGTGGGTGGGCGGGGACTTGACTCTGGGTCCTTTGTGAGCCCCAGACTCTAATAGGAGGAAGGTTTTCATATACATTTTACTAATTTTCTTTCATCTGATACTTCTATTACAGAGAAAGGGCAAATAGCAATATTAAATTATTTCCTCTAATTAATCCCCTTATTGTGCTTGAATTTCATGCACTGGGTTACTAGTTGAATTCTAATTATGTTTCAGTGGTATGGGTGGGGAAGCATTATAAAGGACTGTAACTGGTGAAAAAATATGTGGAGATAAAGGAGAGGCTACTTTAAATTGAGATGGGAAAACGTGGATATTGAGATAATAAAATGTTACATCAATTTAATAGTTAAGTTCTAATTGCCATATGTGCCTACCTATGGAGTTGGTGTGATTGTTTACTTAGGCATAGTCTTGTTCTAGAAAGGATAAAAGGTCGCTTATAGGGACACGTAAAAAATAAGATAATTAGAATTAGATGGGAATGGCTTTGCAGTTGCCTTCATTTTTAAATTATTAGGTAAATAGGATATTATATTTCTGTAGGTTGTCTTCTGAGAGAGTGAATTAATAGTATGTAGTATTTTATTTTAAAAAATTATATTTCAGGAAGTATATTTCCAGGTAAACTTACCTTGGTATTAGTCATTTTACTTGGAGGAACTTCAGTGTACTTATTACTAAATAATTGTCTCTTGCAGATTTATAATGAAAAAGAATTATTACAAGGAAAATTGGATCTCCTTAGTGATACCAACATGGTAGACTTTGCTATGGATGTATACAAAAACCTTTATTCTGATGATATTCCTCATGGTAAGTTTTGTTATTAGAACTGAAGCTTGTCTTATGAACAGAGGTTGTGTGAATTAAAGTTTATGATTTATTAAATGCTGTAGCCAAAAGTCTTATAATTATTTAAAAGTTCTTTGGATGAAAGGTAATACTAAGATTATAGGTCTTCTAAAGCATATTATTTTCTTACCATAAAAGATGTGAAAATGCTTTAAGACATGATCATAAAATATCTTTATAGTATTTAGTTCATAATATCATCAGAGTTGTGGTTATCAGTCAGATTGTTGCCTGAGACTTATCTAAGACTTTGGCAATTTTTTGGGTTGACTAACTTTTTCAATTAGCTTAAGGATTTATTTTTCATCTGGGTATAGCCGTAGTCTTTAAAAGTATAGTCCCCAGGACCAGCATCATTAGTTCTCCTGGAATAGCTTGTTAGAAATGCAAATTCTACAGCCTAATTAGAAACCATTGGCTGAGGTCCAGTGTCCACACTGGAGAATTAGAATTACTGGCCCAGTGTTTTCAAATCCCTGTTTTCTGTGATAATAGATGTTCCTTTCAAAATGGTGGTCTGTAAGTTTGGAAAATACTGAAATATTCTGTATCATTTCTTTTATGCACAGAGTATTTTAAAATAATGTAAAACTCTTTCAGTACAGGAACAATTTACTTTGTTTAAGTTGACATTTCTCAAAATTTGATCACAGATCCCCTTCTGTTTTGAGAAACACTGTTCTAGTGTGTATTTTGTAATATATAATGAGTTATTACATTAAACATAATCATCTTTTGGCTTATATTACAATTCCCTGCAATAACATTCACTCTTTTAAATTTTAGTTTGTGATGAAAAGTTCTTATTGAAACTTTAAAACATGCTAGCAGGGTAGGTTATATGTGAATTTTCTCTGACTCTTCATGATATAGTAAAAAGAAACTATAGAACTGGGTTTGAGAGATTACAGAACTAGACATTTATAGCAAAGAGAGATTACTGATTGGATTTAAATCCCATTAAACTTGGCTGAAAACATAATAATAATATGTAAACTCCTCTGAACCTCTGTTAGGCAACTCGAATAATATATTCACCTGAGAGAATTTAATGAGAACAAATATAAAAACACTGGGAATGAAGTCTCTGAAATGTAGAATTAGATCATTTTTTCCTTTGACACCCCTCCCTTCTTCCCTTCCCTGTCCCAGGCTGTTTCTCTCTATTCCCCAGTTTCTCTTGAGTAAAATGATTCCTTCCTGTATGTGCCTTATCATTGCTAGAAAGAAGAAATTTGATCTGGGGAAGTTATTGAGTTGGTGGTTATTGGCAAATGAATCTATTAGGGTAAATACATATATGCACAACTTAAATAAAATGAAAATTTCCAGAGACATCCTCCTGGGGAGCAGTTGTAGTTTAACATTATAATACTCCTTTCCATTTTTAATTAGCTTTGAGAGAGAAAAGAACCACAGTTGTTGCACAACTGAAACAGCTTCAGGCAGAAACGGAACCAATTGTGAAGATGTTTGAAGATCCAGAAACTACAAGGCAAATGCAGTCAACCAGGTAACTTCTTCCTTAAGTAGAATTATAAAAATTCTCTTTCCAGATTAATACAATGCTAACTTGAACTTTGATAGATTCATTTATCCTTATTTTTATTTTTCATTTATCCTTATTGTGTAGGGACCAGAAAGTCATAATGTTAACATTCTTTTTTTGTTGTTGGTTTGTTAAAATATATTTCATTGATTTTTTACAGAGAGGAAGAGAGAGGGTTAAGAGTTAGAAACATCGACCAGCTGCCTCCTGCACACCCCCCCCCTATTGGGGATGTGCTCGCAACCAATGTACCTTTCAGTCCACAGACCGACTCTCTCCACTGAGCCAAACTGGCTAGGGCTGTTAATATTCTTTTTAGAACTTCTTTACCATGTACCTAAATCTGGTTGTGTTGCATTAGTTCTGTTTCCTTGGCAATGTCTGGAGACATTTTTGGTTTTCACTACCGGGGGAGTGCTATTGGCACCTAGCAAGGAGCAGCCAAAGATGCTGCTAAACATTCTACAATACATTGGACAATATCCTACCCTCCAAAAAAGAAATACCCAACCTGAAATGTCAGTAGTACTGAGGTTGAGAAACGCTCTGCCTAGGCAGTACCTAGAGCACGTGGGTTATTAGCTGTAAGGAAAATCTTAGCTCACTTTATCAGTTTGCTCCATTCTCCCATATCCTTCCAACCTGATGCCCAGCCCAAGGAGGGTGTAGAGCTGATAAGGTTATTTTATTCCTAACTTTTCCTTAGCTAGAAAAACTTATTGTTTGGTTTCCAAGAAAACGTTTTGCCTTACTCTGACTTAATATCACTAATTGAAGCCCTTTCAATTATTTCAAATGTTTGAAATAAAATCTAAATTGAATATTGCCTTTTGGTAAATCTTAGCTACCAATATATTCCCTTGAGAAATTGCAAATTTTGCCATGTTGTACCTTTAGTTCTTATGACATGTTACCAAGTCGAAATTTAGAGAGGTTGGCTCTGAATTTTCACTTGTGATTTGAGAAAGTATTACCAGATATTTGTTAGAAAAGCAGCAAATACTACACTGTTGTTATCCCATATTATAATGTATTTTACTATACCACACCATATTTTACTACATACATATATATCTACACACAGCAGTCCATATACACATACACAAAGATAGCTATATTTTATAAAGCTATTATGTATAATATGTATTCACATATAGCTATCTATATGCGTGTACATATACATATTTAATACTGAACTACTTACAAATATTTATGAGTAATTATAGACCTTCAAGTCTTATGTAAGTAACCACAAAGGGACAACTGAAATAACCCAGAAATTAGGGTACAACAGGAAATTTAGGATTTAAATTGTAAATTTAGTCATATAAACACACAGATGTAATGGGATTTAGGTTATGAATAAGGTGAGTATGGATTTGTTTACCAAATATTAGAAAGAGAGAACTCCTTGTAGCTTAATATACACTAAATTGGAGATAAATGAAAGGATGGAATTGTGTGTTAAAAACTTGTAACCCAATTAAACATGTAAACTAGTATTTTTATGTTGAAATTTCACATACATTTCATATTCTGCATTATAATACACCCATAATTTTAGTGATAACGTATCAACCCCTCATTAAATAACTCTTCAAGTAAAAGTGTGCTCCTGAAAGACATGACACAGCATACATCCTGGGAGGAGCATTAAAAAATGTTTTTATATTTAAAAATGCCTAGCAGCCGAAACCGGTTTGGCTCAGTAGTAGAGCGTCGGTCTGTGGACTGAAAGGTCCCAGGTTCGATTCCGGTCAAGGGCATGTACATTGGTTGCGGGCACATCCCCAGTAGGAGGTGTGCAAGAAGCAGCTGGTTGATGTTTCTCTCTCATCGACATTTCTTGCTCTCTATCCCTCTCTCCTCTACTCTGTAAAAAATCAATAAAATATATTTAAAAAAAATAAAATAAAAAATAAAAATAAAAATGCCTAGCAGATAGGCAATGGTAACCATCTATCACTTGTTCCTTGGAGTCTTTGTCACCATTTTACCATCCTAAAAACATATCAAATTATGGAAAGCTAAAAAAATAAAAAGTTGAATTGGGTCATTTGACACGTTGGTATAGATGATAATTACATAGGGTATGTAGCATACATGTCCTATAAGTGAGGCATGATTTATTAATCTTGTAAATTTGCTAAATTACAGTCCTTGTGAAAAATACTAACAAATTGGGAGGGGGACAAAGTTTTTATATAGGATTAATTCCTATTAGTTTGTACAGTCCACATATTCCAATCTTTGTTCTGTAACTATATTTTCTATTTAAAATGTACACTCAAGATAGCAAATATAGAAACTATATTTGATGGGGTTGTATCCTGGTAAACCCATGCTAAGTTGAAAATATCGTAAGTAAAAAATACATTTAATACACTTAACCTTTCCAACATAGCATATAGCCACACATATGTTGATTAAATTCAGAACGCTTTCATTAGCCTACAATGGGGAAAAATTACCTAATACAATGAATACACTGTAGAGTGTCAGTTATTTATCCTCATGATCGAAAGGATGCTTCCCCACCTTCATGAGTTAACACACTTCATATTGCTAGCCCATTAAAAGATCAAAATTTAAAGTATATTATTTTTGTACCATTGCAAAGTTGAAAATTCATAAGTCTAACCACCTTAAATCTGGGACCATATGTATTATTTTCAGTAAGTTATTACCTGAGTTGACTATTGGATCTCACTTTAAAAATAGAATGTTCTGGTTCTATTACCTAAAAACACTTCTAAAAGGGCATTACCATGGATGTGGTATGACAGAACACATGGTTTTCAATTAGGACTAAAAAATCTGAAATGAATTTTAAAAATTGCAATTCTTGAGTTTCTATTTCTTCAGAATATTTACTGTTCTGTTTATTTTATTCTGGAAGTCCTATTTTACTTTGTTTGGGTATTAAGGTATTTAAAGTGGCTTTATGTGGATAATAAGTTAGAAGTGCTTACTTTTTTGTGGACTATGAAATACAATAACGTTTGTTCTTATTATTAAGGGATGGTCGTATGTTGTTTGACTACTTGGCGGACAAACATGGTGTAAGTAGTGCCTTTAAAATTTTTATAGTTGTCATGTTATAAGGGTAATTAAAGAATAGTGCTGTATAGATAGGTTCCTTGTTCTACAGGAATATTATTTTCAGATCCATTCATTAAGTGTAATATCTGGTATGTTTTTGAAACTAGATTTTAAAAATTGATAATGATAGAAAAACAATATACTTATCTTTAGGTAACACAAAGTCTCTAAACTTTGGATTTATTTTTTTTTTGGCTATTCAGATAATGATGTTTTATGTTTCTGATGAATTAGTAACTAATAAGTAAAGACAGAACTAAATTTGAATGAGAAATGCCTTGAGTAATAAAATTAAGTAATACTTTGGCTGCCTTGTGGAATAAAGTAACATTATCAAGACCTTCATAAATCCCCAAATTCACAAGTAAAGGAATGATATAGTCTTTTCTAGCCATCTCCCACTCTCTTCCCTTGTTAACTCAAAGCATAAGGCTTTGCATACTATCACATTTGTAACTTGCATTCAAGTGTTCTCTCTCATTTAACAATTATTGTAACAAGAGGCATGCTGACCATTATGCAGAATACTTTTTTCGGTTTCCATATAGAATGTTTAGTGGATTTATTAATGATCTAGTTTGGAGCTCTTCTCTTATATTTCTTCACTTTTTCTTGCATCAACTCTAAAAGTTGGCATAATTTGGGGGGCCAGTTTTCAGAGAGAACAGTTTATTGTACATATTATTTGTACTGAATCACAAAAACCTTACATATGTCTGAAAGTTTTCTAAGCTTGGTCATCAGCTAAGACACACACATCAAACTTTCAGCAGCAATTCAAGTTTGTATCAATTGTTAACAAAGTGGGTACATTTCAAAATTCTTTTAGGCCAGAACTATGAGTGTTTAAATTTACCAATTCTTAAAATTTATGTTTTGAGGTTATTTATTTTTTATGGCAACTTTTAGAATACTTTGACAGAATTGCATTTAAAGGAGTAAATATTTTAAAAATAGAACTTCAGCTTTTATGTTTTCTTTCTTTAGTTTAGGCAAGAATATTTAGATACACTCTACAGATATGCAAAATTCCAATATGAATGTGGGAATTACTCTGGAGCAGCAGAATATCTTTACTTTTTTAGAGTGTTGGTAAGTAATTTTTTGTTTGTCCTCTCTTTTGTAGAATTCCCTTGGATTCTCAAAATATATCTATAGATTTGGGTCTGTCTCTTGTGTTTTCAACAGTTGTTGATAAAAGGATTAAAAAATAATAACTTTCTCCAACAAAAATCAAATAGATACAGAAAACCCTATACAGAGCCTTAAAATGTGGAGGGAGAATGAACTTGTCCTTGGAATCCCCAAAAGTGGGAACGCCAGATTTGTTATTTGATGTATAATTGTATTTTAGCATTAGCAGAATTCTGTCATGAAGTGATGTTGCTGTAGAGTGAGTGGCACATTGCCAGTGCTTAATGTTTATTGAATAAATCCATTATTCTGATATATATATATTCTTTAAACTTGTTCTAAACAACTGTGGGGATAATCTGCCTTCATAGTAACTTGATTTCCATTTAGTTTTGTAACCATCTATCTATTTATATATATATAAAAGACTAAGCGACTGATCAGTCGACCAGTCACTATGACATGCACTGTCCACCAGGGGGCAGGTACTCATCACAGGAGTTGCCCCCTGGTGGTCTATGCACTACCACAGCCAACCTCCTGACACCCATTGGCCCTGATTGTCTGCCAGGCCAAGGGTTCCCCACCCATGCATGAATTCATCCCCCAGGCCTCTAGTTAGAATATAAAAAGCTCAGTGGCTTGCCATTTTGCGGGGAGTGGACTTTAAATGGTACTATTTCGAGCAAATTCCTAATCATAAATTGCCTTGTTATCTTTATTTGTCTGACAAATTCCTAAATTCAGTGCTTTTGTTAGGGAAGAATTGTGTGAAGCTAAAGGAAAAAATATTAGACCTTCAAATTGACAGATTTTTTTTCTCACTCTGCCTTAAGTAATTGTATCAATAAATGCCTTCTGGAGTTGTCAGAATACCCTGTATTTAACCTCTCATTTGAGAAACTATAATTTGTTACTCACTTCGGGTTAGTAAGCAATACCTAAGTCTCTGATTTCTCTAGAAAAGACTTGTGGCTGCTATTTTAGTTGTTTTCTTGGAAATTAAATTTTCTATTTGGGGGGGAGGGGTCAGAGAGTTGGGATTAGTGTTATTAATTCAGATAATTTCTACACCTAAAAAAGTACTTAGATGGCTTCTTCTTTTTTCTTTTTTTCTTTTTTTTTTTTTGTAAGAGAACATCTATTTGGTAAATCACAGAGGTAGAAGAAGTAATTCCTAGAAGAAATTGGCTTAGGGAACAAGTTATGGAGATAAAGGAAGGGCCCTTGGAGGTTGGCAGTGAGGAAATTCATGATAATGTTCCTGGTGGGGGAAAATGGGGAAGAAAAAAGGAAAGGCATAGGTGTGCTCATGGCTTCATTTTTTTTTTAAAATACTTTTCCCTAAAGAAATAAAGATTTTTTAGTTATTTCCAAGATGGATTTGGAATAATTTCCTCTTGCTCCCATTTGTAAGCAAATTCTTAATTTGTAGGTTAACTGTGGTTAGCTTGCAAGTGCATTAAAGGCAATCAGTGATGCTAAACTTGTAGTGACTTATCAGAAAATTCCATCAGTTTTACTCTGAATATTATGAAGGATTTAGGAGAGCAAAAGTTGATTACTTTGGAAATGTAAACAGCTTAAACCAGGATTGTAAAATCAGAAGGCTGATATGATTACAGGAACATGAAAAGAGCTGGTTATTCATATCATTTGTTAATGCTGGGAGTGAATTTTGAGAATGAAGATTTAGTATCATGTTAGAGTTCTAGCACAGTAAATTTATTGTTGCTGGTCAGTGAGTGAATGTGCCATTTTGCTAAGACATGGAAACTTAAGGTAACTGCTGGAAATCCAGATATTGAAACTTCTAGCATATCCACCCTTGAAAGCAGGTTAGTATGAAGAGCCAACTGTAATGACATGGACTTGAGCCAAAGTAGTATGCATGAACCTTCTGGGGATTAAAAAAATGCCCTGCGCTGCTACAAAAAGCTTTTATCCTAACATATATAGCACATTCTAGTTTTAATGGTATTATTAGATTTATGTAGTACGGTTTTATAATTAAGTCTGGCATTTTCTACAAGTGATCGGGAAATATTTACAGGTTTGGGGAGTTTTTATGTTTACTCTTTTTAAGATCCAAGTTAGTTTTCAACCTTAGAAATTTCTGGGTTACTTTTAAACTTTTACCTTGCCTAACAAATCGTGGGTTGGAACTCAAATGACATGTGGTTAAATAACTGAATACCTTGACCTGAACACAAAATTGTTATTTTACATTAAGAGTAATCAACATTGGATAGGTCTTAGAAATGATGTACAGTTAATTTTTAAATTGCCACAAAACATTTGAGACAGATGGGAGTTAGTCATCTCCTTTTGGCTAACAAGGCAAAGTTTTAATAAAATATAAATTATTTTCTCTTTTTCTTTTGATTGAGATAGGTACTATAAAAATCTGTGCATTTGTTTGAGATTTTATTACAAGCAAAGATAAAAATCATGTTTTGGATTTGGGATGAATGCTGTTTTGCTCATTTAAAAAAAAATTTTTTTTTTTTTGGCAATAGCCTTTTTTCATTTCTGAATTCTTTCCTGGTGATTGGTTATTCTTTTAAATCTATGGTTAGGGAAACATAAGCTATGAAAGAACCATTGTAACTATGATCTGAGATTAGAATTTGACTCTCCGAGTGACCTATTGTAGGTCAGTGTTGTATAAATTAAAGCTATGTGACCCTAGAATCCACCTTTAAAAAAAAAAAAAAAAAAGACTTAGTGGCTTTTAGAATACATCAGGAATGCTTAGGTGAACCCTATTTGGAGGTGAAACTTCTTTGACTTATGTGCTAAGAAATGCATTAATTTGAAATGATACGGTGAGGCATATTTGATAGAAAAATTTTAACATTTCTTTCTAATTTAGAAGTCATTAACACTGTATTTTAATTTTTTTTAATCTGCCCTCCCTATGACTTTTGGTTCTAAATTATAACCTCTCTCCTCATTTAGTAGCTATTTGAAATAAATGTGATTTTAAATACTAAGACTGTTATTGATCATCTTTTTATAGTTTTTTCCTCCCCACACTCAATTTAGAATTTATCTACTGTTAAATGCCATTTGATTTAAAAGTACTTTCTCTTGACTTAAGAAGCTTGGATAATGACGGCTTTTGGAAGCTTTAGAATATTGACCGAAATTTTGGATCCTATTTACCCATTTTGATGATATCAGCACAAAAGATATCTATTTCATACTGACTTTCAGATACACAGTTTATTTTTTTTAAAAATATATTTTATTGATTTTTTAGAGAGAGGGATAGAGAGCTAGAAACATCTATGAGAGAGAATCATCGATCAGCTGCCTCTTGCACACCCCCTACTGGGGATGTGCCCGAAACCAAGTACATGCCCTTGAACGGAATCGAACCTGGACCCTTCAGTCTGCAAGCCGACACTCTATCCATTGAACCAAACCAATTTCAGCCAGATACACAGTTTAATTCATCTTCTGAAATTGGAATGTGTCTTGATTTGGTTGTAGTTTGGGTTTAACAAACATAAAATAATGTATCCTTAAAGATGATGGCATCTTATAATAGATTTGATGTAATATTTTGTTTTTGTTTAATCCTCACCTGAGGATATTTTTCCAATGATTTTAGAGAGAGTAGGAGGTAGGGAAGGGGAAGAGAAAGAGAGAGAAACAGCGATTGGTTGCCTCCGCTGTGCACCCTGACCAGGACCAGGGATCAAAACTGCAACCGAGATAAATGTCCTTGACTGGGAATTGAACCCTCGACTCTTCAATCCACAGGCTGACTCTCTCACCACGGAGCAAACTGTCAACGGTTGATTTAATAGTTTAATATTCATATTTCTTTGTAAGGACCAAACATTTTATCCTTTTATAACTTGAAAAGTGGTTTTATGGATTTTTATAAATTAATTTTTAAATTCCTATGAGTTTTGACAACTGTATATACCCATGCAAGTATCGCTAAATCAAGATAAAGAATATCTCTCTTCCCCCCAGAAAGACCCTTGTGCCTCTTTGTGGTCATACCTTATCCTGGTTTATCCATTGATCTGCCTTTCATCTGTAGATTACTTATGCCTGCTCTAGAATTTCACATAAGTGAGATGAAATATATAAGTTTGTGCCTGGCTTACTTTGATGAGCAAGATTTTGAGATTCACTTGTATTATTTTGTATATATCAGAAGTTTGGTTCTTTTATTGCTTAGTAGAAGTCCATTTTATGAATATACTATAATTTTTGTATATATTCAGCTGTTGAATATTTGGATAATTTTGTTTTTGTCTATTACAAATAAACTTGTCCTGGATATTCAGTGTTTTCATAGAAATATGTCCAAATTTAATATATACAGTTAGTCTGTAATATACAGTTAGTCTGTTATTTGCATGTTCTTAGAGTTAGCTAAATATTATTGATTACATTTGAGTTATTACTGCCATCAAAGGAAGGATCTCAGTATAGACAGAGTCTGGATTAGATAAAACTGTGAGCTTCATAATTTAGACAAATATAGTACTCTGGTATCATTTCTAGTTTCATCATTGGATACTATTTCCTGAGTTTTTTTTATCAAATGATGTTGTAATTTCTTTACATGTATTATATTTAGATTGTACAGTAGCTGAGGTGTGTTTGATTACTATCTCCATTTTGTAAATGAGAAAGCTAAAGTTAAGATGGTTCAGCTCTTTATATTAAGTGATAGAGCCAGAATTATTAGTGGCTGGGTTTCCAGTCCTGTCCATGCAATTTTATGTAACATGTAATTATAATATATTCTAATGTGTACAATTATACTACCATGTAAATGCTTTAATGAAAGATTAAATTCGAAATTTTAACTTAGGGTTATATTCTTTGTGCAATATCCTCACTTCTGCTTTAGCACATCTGATCAGTTCAGAGTCTTTTTATCCAATTATTTTGCTCTGTTTGAGTGTCCTCCTTTACTTGTTTTTGTCATTTAGCATAGTCTGTATAGGTGTTTTGGGTTTATGACCCTCTTTAACAGTGGCAAGGTGTCCCTTGGACCACTTTTGTATGTTCACACTAGGGTATAAAATTCATAGCTTCCATGATCGAAGTTTAAATTTTAGACGAATTATACTGTCCTTACATCAGTTCCCTGTCTTTAAAATGTGAATAAAACATTATTATTTACCTTTTGGGATTTTTGTTATAATTATATGAGAAAACAAACTTTTATTACTCAATACCTACTCCTTTGATTATAATTGTTATTAGCCAATAGACATTTTTTTCTCCATAACTCCTTCCATTTGTGTCATAATCTAGAATTTTTTTTTGTTCTGGAAATAATTCCTCTAAATTATAAATCAGGCCCCACATCTTCTTCACTCCACTGATTTTAGCAATAAATTGCCTCTGAATCTAATGGTTTCCAAAGTCGTAAGTGCCTAAAATTTGACTAGTTGTATGTAAATTATCTGAAATAGATTACACAAAACACTGGTGCTTTAGTCTAGTTTTAACTTACTCTTTATTTTCTGATCTAGGCTGAATATTAAAGACCTGAAGTTTTTTTTATTTTAGTATAATTAAGTTAAATGAAAGTGGTTTGAATCAGTGTGATCTAGTCAAGACTTAGATGACTGGAATTTTTGGGCACTGATCTCTTAGTAGACTTGATAGATTTAGGGGTTAGAATATAATTAATTATGATATCTCAAATAGGTTCCAGCAACGGATAGAAATGCTTTGAGTTCACTCTGGGGAAAACTGGCCTCTGAAATCTTAATGCAGAATTGGGATGCAGCCATGGAAGACCTTACACGGTTAAAAGAGACCATAGATAATAACGTGAGTTCAACACTTTTGATTATTTTCTGGAATTTTTATGTGTCCTTCATACTTTATGTGTACTTTAAAAAGAAGAAGACAAACTAAACTAAAATGTTAAGTTTAACTTCTGTTGGCCAGAATAAAAATCACAGTGGGTTGACTAGTTTCATTGAATCTCCTTGAAAGTAGCTATCGCTTCTTTTGGCTTTTAGAGAAAAGAACTCAGTTTTCATTTTTGTTAACAACTGTACCTTTTTTTATCTGTATCAGTGAAAATTACATAATACTGTTAGTGCCACCTATTCTTTAAAGTCCTATATGCAGAAGATGACAGTTTTCACCTATAATGCTTAATAAATAAATAAAACTTAATAATAAAACTACTTCTTTTGGAGTGCTTAGTTTATTTCTTACTTTTAAAATATTTTCTGAAATAACTATAATTTACAGCCTCTGTACAAATGGCTTAATGGACATTGATTCTCTCTCTGAAAATGAGGAATTTTTGAATGTTGAGGATTATATAGAGTTAGTAGTCTAGGAGATTATACTTTGGTCATAATGACCCTACCACATGCCTTAGAAAATTTTCATTTTTAACTAAAATTCTGAGATAAGCAGTGTTCATTGCCTTGCCTCTTTCTCATATATTAATACTATGTGTACTTTTTTAACCCTTTAGTCTGTGAGTTCTCCTCTCCAGTCTCTTCAGCAGCGAACATGGCTCATTCATTGGTCTCTGTTTGTTTTCTTCAATCACCCCAAAGGGCGCGATAATATTATTGATCTCTTCCTTTACCAGCCACAGTAAGTTAATTTCACTACATAATTTTGGTTTTAATTATATAGATTAAAAAAAAATGTTTTTCTCCCTAGCATTTGAATTTGTTTCCATTTTTCCCCCTCTTCATGTACTTGTAAATTGAAAAAGCTTGTATCTAACCACTGTGCTGTATGTCTGAGACTAATATAAAATAACTAGAAGTCTGGTGCACCAATCCATGCACAGTTGGAATCCCTCTGCCTGGCTGAAGGTCGTGGAAGGTTGGCCAGCCTCAGGAGGTTGGCTGTGGGAAGCACACTGACCACCAGGGGGAAGCTTCTGCATTGACCATCTTCCCCCGGTGGTGAGTGCATATCATAACAACCAATCGCTTGGTTAACTAGTTGTACAGTCAACTGGTCTTTGGGCTTTTATATATATATATAGACTAGAGGCCCGGTGCATGAAATTTGTGCACGGGGGGGGCGGTGTCCCTCAGCTCATCCTGCACCCTCTCCAATCTGGGACCCCTTGAGAGATTTCAAGTGACTGGGCTAATCCTGCAAGCCACTGGGGCTGGGCGGGAATATCCAGTCGCCCAAGGCCAGCAGCCAGCCCCACCACGGGTGCCAGGCTGGGGGGCATGCAGGGACCCCTGGGCTGCATGCAGCGGTAGCCTCCGGGGATTCCACACACCCCAGAGGCCAGCAGCCAGCCCCCTGTTGGCTGGAGGCGTGGACCCCAACCGCAGCTTAGTGCTTGAGCATTTGCAAACAGCTGCAGGCAGGGATGTTCCCGCCCTACCCCCAGCCACTTGGTTCCTGCACCCATAGGCTCCCAAGTGGTCAGGGGTGTTCTGGTACCCCTCCTGCTCAAGGCCTAAGCGTGGGCCTATAGGCTAGGAGCAGCCTGGATGTTCCTGGGACCCAGGCCACTCAGCACCTGTGTATGCAAATTAGCCGTCATCTTTGTTAAGGTTAATTCACATACTTGCTCTGATTGGCTGTGGGTGTCACGAAGGTATGGTCACTTCGCATTTTTCTCTTTTATTTTTAAATGAGAGACTAAATGTCAATTATAATTGAAAAAAATAAAAATTGTAAAAACTGTAAAAAGAAAAGAAAAAGCTTATGTAACTCTTAGGGAAATAATTTGATAAAAACTGCACTGTAAGCACTCTAAAGTGCTATTTAAGTTTGGTCTCTGAGCCAACATCATAAGTGTCATACAGAATCTTGGACCTTACCCTAGAATAAGGTTGGGGAATGTCCAACCTGCTGGCCATTCGTGTGGTCCTGCCAAGGCATTATGGTGAGTTATTTGAATGTTTGACCAAATATAGCAGGCCAATTTTTGCCTTGATAATTTTATGTGGAATGAGAATATTATAAATACCCACATAGCCTTTTTGGCAGAAAATAGGTTCCCCACCCCTGCCCTAGAGAAACTAAATGCATTTTAACAAGATCCTAGGTATACCATCCATCTATACATTAAAGCAGTGGTTCTCAACCTTTTTAAGGTCGCGACCCTTTAATACAGTTCCTCATGTGGTGATCCCCAACCATAAAATTATTTTCTTTGCTACTTCATAACTGATTTTGCTTCTGTTATGAATCATAATGTAAATATCTGTGTTTACTGTGATCTTAGGTGACCCTGCTAGCGGTTCTCTACCTGTGGGTTGCAACTCACAAGTTGAGAGCCACTGCTGAAGAGTGGGAAGAGATGTTTTTAAATAGACTTTTTCAATGTATTGGGGAAGGAGAGATGTTTTCAGAATATTGTTTCTGACAATATACCAAAACTCTTCAGGTAGTAGTTTTGTAAAGGTTACTGAAATGTGGTACCTAAAACCATATTCAATTTTTGGATTCTAAACGATGTAGGTATTCTAAAATATAGTGATTGGCCTTGCACTTCGAAGGGTCTTTTACCCATGCATGATTTATAACATTTTAAAAAATATATATTTTATTGATTTTGTACAGAGAGGAAGGGAGAGAGATAGAGAGTTAGAAACATCGATGAGAGAGAGTCATCGATCAGCTGCCTCTTGCACACCCCTTACTGGGGATATGCCCGAAACCAAAGTACATGCCCTTGACCGGAATCGAACCTGGGACCTTTCAGTCCCCAAGCCGACGCTCTATCCATTGAGCCAAACCGGTTTCGGCATGATTTATAACATTTTTATTGGTTGTTTGGGAAATACTGGTTCACTGAGATAATAGATATTCCAAATATCTCACGTGTTGACATTACATAATACCAAAAAATCACGTTCATTAATATCACTACTAACTCTATTAGAAAAGGCTTCAAGTATTGGAAATAATTAAGCTCTTGGTGACATAATATTCCAAAATTCTATTTTTTTGAAAACTAGGATTTTTATCATTTGTTTTATTTGAGGAAAAGGCTCACTTTATTTTTTAAAAAGTTTCTCCCAAGTGCTCAAACCTAAGTAGCTTTGGTTTGTCCTTTTTTTTTTGTGAGAAAAGCAGCTAGCTCAGTTTGTAGCTAACTCAGTTTTATAAGTACTTTTCAACTTAAGAACTGTGATATCCAAGTACATAGCAGAAGAGCTTTATACCCATTTAGTCATACAGTACATTAAAAGATAAGCATGCAAAGTTGGAGTTGTTAAAAATGAATATTTTTTTACTGCCCAATCAAGGACATAATTGTGAAATCCTTTTTTTAAAAACTGCAAAAGTGTAGTGGTGAAAAATAACCGTGACTACTAGTATAGTATTATGGCATTATCTTTATTTGTGCTAAGGTTACCAGAAGATTTGGTTTGTTTATAATTCACTGATTTTAGTCACTTTATCAAATGATGCAGCAATCACCATAAATTGGTTGTTGAGCATTTTCACCTGCCCAAAAAAAACAACCCTTGTACCTATTTTATATAACAGCCTGTTTGAAAAATATTGAAGAAAAAGAAACTACTCAGTAGTATTACAACTTTCAGTTTCCCCCAAGATATTGTGCTTACTGTTTCTATTTGCTATAAGGTCAGTTTTTCTTTAGTAATGTCTTCATGGCTTATTTGGGTTTCATGTGATTCTAACTTTTTTTCATATGAAAATACACTCAGTTGGCTTGCTAGATAATTGTTTCAGCCATTTTTCTGTATTGCGTATTCTTTAAGTAGAATAATTGTGTAGCTTGTAATTGACCTTTGTGTGTTTTTCAATAGTCTTTAATAGATAATAGAAATTAATGGGAAAAGTGGGATAGTCTTCTACTAATACAATTTAATGTCATTCATAGAGTATGTGTTAAATTAATGATTTATAAAGATTATTATTTTAGGCTTTTTTTTTTAATATAAAAATATTTTGGAGATAAATTATACTTGTGTCCTTGAAGTGGAAGTTTAGATGCACCTGCAGGTTAAAGTCTCTTACATCATATATATTACCATTTCTGTCATAACTATTCTGAATCTAAAATGGAGATGATTAACACATTTGAAAAATGTTGAACTTTTAAATGTAACGAAATACATAAGATAAGGTATCAGGTGTATGATACTGCAGTGTTCATAGGCTATTAGAGATGAGCCTTGGCCACAAAATGTAGATGTTATTCGGAAGAAGAATGCATTTGTAATATAATGCCCTAGTTACTCTCCAATTTTAAAAGAAAAAAAGATTTAAAGTTCAGTTAGCATAAGAGTGTTAAATTTGTTTTCTAAGTAAAAATTTCAAGTTTTATTAGATAGTGTCCCGAATTTATCCTTGGCTAACCTTTCTGCGCCCCCCCCCCTCCCCCCCGTATTTTCTAATTGTTCCTGATATTTTTGATGCGGGTATCTTGCTATAGCTTAGGGCAGTGTTCGGCAAACTCATTAGTCCAACAGAGCCAAATATCAACAGCACAACAATTGACATTTCTTTTGAGAGCCAAATGTTTTAAACTTAACTTCTTCTAAAGCCACTTCTTCAAAATAGACTCACCCAGGCTATAGTATTTTGTGGAAGAGCTACACTCAAGGGGCCAAAGAGCTCGCGAGCCACAGTTTGCCGACCAGAAGCTTAGGATGATGGCTAAGATAGAGTTCTACCAAGTATTCTCCCCCTTTTGTTCTTTTAGCTTGTCTTTCTGGAGATGCCTTTTTCTTCTTTGTACCTATCCAAAGTCTGCCTGTATTTTAAGCTCCAGTGCTAGTTTACTTTATTCATGAAGTCTGATATATTGTGTCTACCACATATTTGGTATTTAATTATGTAATGCCTTTAAACAAAAATCCTATAATTGCCTTATCTTCCCAACGAGATTATAAGTGTATTCGAGAACAGAATTTTTATTCTTCTTTTAACATCCTGCACATAATAAATACGTATTTTTTTATTTGGGGGCATATTTTGTCTTATCCTTTGATTACTAAATATTCCAGCTTGCTATTAGAAAGCTATAGAAAAACTTCTATAATATTGCACAATTGGAGCAGGGTTGTGCTAGAGAAAAAAAAACTAAAATAGTTTTACTGACCTATTGTAATATAACTTTAGAATGCAATAAATGCAGAGGCTCTTATTTAAAAGAAAAAGTAATAAAATTAGATTTCAAATATAGGATCAGTATGGTTCTTACTGACTCAAAAAAATAACACAAGAAATAGTGTAAGAACATTTAACTAGGTACAAATAACTGTACATGCTAAACAAATAGTAGGTTTAACATCTGTCAGTGATACCTGGAGAAGTTAGAATATCCAGTGAAGATGAGAGTTGATCTGGCCTGTAAATTTCAAGTGACAGTGAAGGAAGGAGATGATAAGAAAGCAAGTAGTAAAAAGAGCACAATGGTCATGTGTTGGCTGTTAACCACCTTTGTGGTTTTGCTTGTATTTCAACTTAAATATATAATTATTGATTGTACCAGAATGTGAACTAAGATATTACCCTTAATCCCCACTCCCCTCCTTTATTTACTGACCTATATACATACTTGTGTGCGTGAATGCGCCATGGAAGGTAGGGAGTTCTGCCATCTTTGAAAGTCAAATATTAATGGTGTGTACCAGGGG